TGATCTTAACTATTAAAATTACTATAATATCCATCAATCCCCTTCTGGTATAAAGTACCGTTTATTACCTAAATCACACACTAATCTCAACTGGACAACCATTGGAAACTAGAAAACACTGAACATATCTGTCATCCTAGTATGGAACTTGTCAACGAAATGCATCTACAATCCCTTTAAGAATATAACCCAGGATTTTTGGCCCTTTAGATAATTCTATCCATATCTACGAGCATCACATGAAATATCTTATGATCAATTGATTCGTCGAATACTAAAGATCCTTCTGAAAATCTAATTGAAGATTTTGCTATTTAGTATAATAGTATAATATAATTTGAATGAAAATCACTATTCCTATATTGTGAAACTTGTCATAAATGTAAAAGATGTGTTGTATCGAAACCTCTCAGTTAACTCTTGTAAAATGTAAAAATAAAGCAAAGTTTATCGACGTATTTTCATCTATTACAATCATCAATAGTTTTCTCATTATCAACAATGAAATGTCGTTTGATAGTAAACATAACTCTGATACAGTGTCTCTGAATCAACAACCGATCTAAGTTTTTTTCTTTACACAACTGTTTTGAACAATATCAACAACTGGACTATTATTATTATTATCAGTAGTAGTAGTAGTAGTAGTAGTAGTAGTAGTAGTAGTAGTAGTAGTAGTAGTAGTAGTAGTAGTAGTAGTAGTAGTAGTAGTAGTAGTAGTAGTAGTAGTAGTAGTAGTAGTAGTAGTAGTAGTAGTAGTAGTAGTAGTAGTAGTAGTAGTAGTAGTAGTAGTAGTAGTAGTACCGACACTTAAGAGTTCACCCAATCTCTGAAAGCTGCAGACAGTTTAACCATTCATAATTCGTAAAATGAGACCCCTTAGACCTTTAGATCACTGATGAAAAATTAGTAAAATATGCTTCAGTTATCCACCAAACTCATCCATTTAGTAGAATGATCACAAGAATTACATTAAATCGCTTATTAGAAGCAAATATAAATCCTACCAATAATCTTCAATCTATTTACCATAATTAACACATGACAAGATGGTGAAAAATTACACAATATTTCGTAAAATAATTTATAAATAAAATCATAATGTTCTGTAGTTTAATACATTAACAAATGGATTCGATGGAGTTCAAGTATACATCACTGAACAGTCTCGAATCAGAGTGAAATAGCCATCCAGTAACCTCTATTAAATAATTTAGTTCATAAAAAGAAATTGACATGGCGAAAAGCGAACGTCTGGTGCCCTAACCGGGCTGATCAATATGGAGGATCCACTCAAAGGGAGTTGGAAAACCCTGATTTCAAACTAATGGTAGACATGGGATCCACGATCCTGAAGGAACAAATGGCGTATGAACCAAATGTTGGTCACCGGCTACCATGGGACTGCATCGGCTGACGTTGCTCCGTTGCCTTGTGGATTAGGCCTTTAGGTCAAAGGCTCGAGGTGTGGCCTCCTAAGAAAACCACCTGCTTCGATTTGGGCACCCGGGCACTATCACAGCATATCTGTTTGGTCCCTTCTTGTACCAATATTTATGTGTTTAAATAAATAAATAAGGCGTACTAACAGAAGTTGGTGTATTATTATTTAAAGTAAGTAAATACACGTACATGAATGGATTGATTTTCATAATACTACATAATCTGACACCTATTAGTAATGTATAGTATAAATTGTATTCATACTGTTCATCAGAAATTTTATTATATTATGGTTATCTTGTAAACTGGGAATAAATAATCTAAAAAAGAATAAACAAAATGATTTATTCCCAACAAAATAAAATCAGCTATTATATGTCACCTAGACAATTGACACTGTCTCATAGACTCCTTGTCATATATTTACTATTGACTAATTTGTGAGGTAAATACCAAAGTGAGAATCTGTAATCACTTCAGCGACATTAAAAGTGAAACAAAAGTGACCGATGGCAACAGACGACTATTCAGTAATAATCATGAACCGACTCAGATATTATACATGAACTATAAGTTGCCAACTTAGTGGTCTGAAAATTCGGTGATCACCATGACACCTGGAAGTTTTGATTTCGATCCCTGATAAAAATATTAATCCTTAAGGTCAAGAATTTTCATAAATGCACAAAATAGTTGTTGTGTGCTTTCTTATTTTTAATGTTTGTTTCATTAAAGTCAGCCTGTAATATGAAATTATGAAACAAAAACATCGAACATTAAAAACATGTAATTCATTTTGGCATTCATCATAGGCAGCATAAATGCTATTTCATATTAGTATTTCCATGTTTACATGTTTAGACTCTCAAGATGGATAATGTAAGTATTTGTAAGTGTCTTGTCTAATAATCTCTAGAATTCAAGAGAAACTGACAATGAAAAAATTATTCATCTAATTGGGTTTTTTTCAAATTGATTTTGTCAAGGTAAAATTGGGTAACGACAAAATAACCTTGAAAATTTAAATCAATAAGAAATTTGTGCCAATTTTTTTTAATTCTTTGATTATTGTTGAACATAAACTAATAAATAAAAGCAACTTGAAATGATGTATGATTTATTTCAGAAAGTAAGATTAACTGAAACAATAAAGATCATGAAACATCTTCATTTCAAATAAATCAATAATGTGTAGTCTCAGAGTGAACATCAACTCTGAGATGCAGGTACATCCAGTTGACGAGTCCCAAACAGGACGAAACGAGCGTCAAACTGGATTCCACTGCTAGCCACGATCCATCTTTAATTATAATGCTTGTAAACTAAGGCAATATTGAGGCATACGCACAGTATGCACATATGCCAATAAGAGACTGATCAATTTCAGTCCTAAAACATCAATGGGAAGATTCAGGTAAAACAATACCAAGTGAATAGTGTGTATATTCCTGATTTCATATGAAATTAAACAAGAGATCTGATGTTACGTTGTCACTGATTAGGTAACTAAATTAAGGTTTTAACAATTTAAATGTATCAACCAGTGATCTATTGACATAGATATTAGAACTAAAAAGAAGTCATTACAAACTTTAGTCGACGATAAGTAGTAACTTGTTATTCAACTGAATTATGATTCAGTTTTTGATATTATTCACATTTGAAGTTTACGTATATTATTTTCATTTCAAATTTATATTCTATTTATTGAAATAAACTTTTAAAATGATTTACAAAAAGGTTAATTATAATAGACATCCAATGGTAAACAAATTCAATTCCTATATTTTTTAATTTAAACCTATTAACTTTAATCAGAGAGGGATTTTGTGGATATTAAAGTAAATTAATAGTTGGATTCATGAGTTAATTGAAGCTAGACCAACATGGAAACCACAGTTGATTGATCACTGGGTGGTGATCAATGTCATGTGTGTCAGATCCTTCTTAGTACAGATCGAATCTTATCGACCAAGTTGCAATGTGGCCACTAGTCTAGGTGACTCGACATTGCGTGATCAATCAATTGTGATTACATCTCAGTCCTACAGGAGGTCAGTCGCCACCCGGATAGCTCGTTGGTAACAGAGTTTCTTGTCGACTACCTCCAAACTCTGTGTTATTTTCACAGTTAAAGTCAATAGTAATTTAATAGTTGGACTCATGCGTCGATTGAAGCTAGACCACCATGGAAAACCTACGAGTATTGGACCGCCGTTTCATCCAAGTATGGGACTCTTAGAATCTCACCAGGTGGGGTCGTGGATGCACACTACTGCGGAGTCCCATACTAGAACGAACGGCTGTCCAGTACTTCAAGGTTTACTATAGTGGTCTAACTTCAATCGACTCATGAGTCCAACTACTAAATTACTATTGACTTTAACTGTGAAAATATCACGGAACTACCAATTTATTTAGATAACAATTTTGGTAAATAAAAAAACAAATAACATTAATTTGAATTATCCTTCAACATAGAATGAAATGAATAAGGTAAATTCATATTATTGGTATATTAAAGTTTTGGATACTGTATAATCAGTCTAAATAGTTTACTGATTGAAAACTAGACAGACACTGAAGGAACTAATGAGGGCACAACATAGCTGTTTCGTCCTTGTCCTGTACTCTACAGCATTACAAAAATTATTTTCAATGATTGTTTAACTAAATTCATTGTGTGGTGTAAACTATAAATTAATTTTAGTTCGATACTGATTACTGGCAGTCAAACCTGGATAGAAAGTAAGCAAAGAAGTGGTGTGCATGGATAAAGTTCCTGATGACATCGTGGATGTCCACTACTGAAAAGTACCATACTAAGAATAAACGGCTATCTAATGCTTCCTATTTTTCAGTAGTTATCTAACTAAGATTATTCCATGATGTAATCTATAGATTTCGATCATCCACACTAACCCTCTACAGTCATATTAATATTGATGAATATGTGAGAGATCTTATCCGAACGAATTATTTTAATCTACTGTAAATATATCCCTGTTATAACCTACCACAGACATGCCTAATGTAGCTTACTGCTGCTTGAGAACAAAGTATTATTATTTAAGATTATAAGGTCGTAGTTGGAGGTTTGATGCTATTTGGAACTCATCTGCAAGATATATATGTATTCTTTAACAATCTGATACTCTCTGGCGGACTCGATCCAGCCTAACTGTCAAAGATGTCACCACTGTACTTATCGAGTAGCGACTGACTTCCTATAGGACTGAGGTATGAGGCTGGATGACAGGGCAGCAACACTTTCCTCAATATTTCATTTACCCTTGCTGACGAGTGTGAAATGGCATGAAACTTAGATCTAGAGTTTCCTGTCTTCCACATTCCATCACCAGCTGACATCTCAAATTAGTGCACGCGATGTCGAACCAATTAGATCAGTACCACACTGAAACTTGATCGATGGAATTCGATCAGCACTAAGAAAGAATTAACATACATGGCATTAGTCACTACTTAGTGATAAACCAATTGTAAATATTATTATCATTATTGTTAACATTATTTTCCATACTAATCTTATTTTTTAGACAACTGGACATATACGAGCAAATAACACGTAAAATTTGTTTTCATTGTTACCAATCTGATTTCTTTCGACTTTCGTAAAAGTGCCTTTTCATTTTCACTGATAACTTATGTAATATGGTAACGCGAACCTACTTACAAATCAATAATGATGGTTATATCTACCAGCAACCTGTATCATACTTCACACCGAATACACAAAATTTCCAACGACAATGGAAAAGTCATCAGAATTTACATGAATCACGCTTGCTTAATCGTCATGTATCTGATCAGTACGTTACTATACCGACAACACGTTTCAATAATGATTCATATAAAAAAGTAAATGGATGTTATAACATCACTTTCAGTATCAATAATACTAATAATAATAATGATACTAGTAATCACTGTAATAGCAATTATAGTATTAATAGTGTAAACAACAATTGTGTGCAACAAAATGTTTACAAGCCTCTATCAAATTTATCTGACAACATCAATAATCATCGTCTAGTATCAAAAGAAAATTCCTCTACCATGAGGTTCGGTGAAAAATTACGTTCTACATCCCTACCACCATTATTACATACTACAAATTATTTTACTCCACAAAAATCAATAATTGCCAATACTGGCCACACTTCACCATCATTGGTCAATCAGATGTGTCATAAATTCTCTTCTACCTCCGCATGTCAACACAGTGGTGCAGATTGGGAAGATTGCCGTATTAGTATAGACTGTTTTGGTATTAAAGGAAAACATTGTAAATCAATAAGACACCTACACAAGAATTACAGTTATAAATTAGCACCACAAACGCATTTATCATCAACACGTATTGGTAACACACAGAATGGACTGAATGATAAATATTTACTCCCTTTACCAATAAGGACACCTTCTATTCATTTAGAAAATATAAAGTTAAATAAAACATCCCAATCAATAAGATCGCATAGTTTATGCGCTAGATCTGTCCGTCTATCAATTATACCGTTAAATCCAATCTACAAAAGATCACCATCGTTATTAAGAAGAAAACAGTGTTTAACAAATCACATTAATCAGTCGATAAGAACTAGAACTACACCTTGGATTAATTCATTTGATTTACACAATTATCATACAGTTCTTCGTAATTGTTGGCGCAAAAATTTAATTCAAAGAATGGTAAGTTAATGATTTAAGATTTTGATTGTTATTGTCATTCAAATGTGCTTGTTTGGATCATTCATAATCTATTTTTCTGTAAAATTATTGTAACTATATGAAACAAAGTGTATTGACTGTCAATTTTCTTTCACTTCTATAAACTAATCTATTTTGTAATTATCATCACTAAGGTCATTACTATTTATTTATTTAAACACATAGACATTGGTACAAGGAGGCACCAAATAGATATGCGCCACATAAGTCATCCGATTTATGTGAGGGCTGGGGTACTCCCTGAGTGCCCAAACCAAAGCAGGTGGTTTTCTTAAGAAGCCACACCTCGAGCCTTTGACCTAAAGGTCTAATCCACAAGGCAGTAGAGCAACGTCAGCCGATGCAGTCCCATGGTAGCCGGTGACCAACATTTGGTTCATACGCCATTTGTTCCTTCAGGATCGTGGATCCCATGTCTACCATTAGTTTGAAATCAGGGTTTTCCAACTCCCCTGGGTGGATCCTCCGTGTCCACTAAAGTTAGATTTGATAAGTTCAAATAAATTGAACATTGAGTAGGATGTTAGTAATAAAATAAGTAGAAATTAGAATTCTTATCTTTACTCATTGGGATATCATTATTTCATTATTCTATTTTGGTTTAGAACAATACCATATGAAATATATGTCAATGTCAATGTGAAATATATTAAGAGAGCTGTCATTCAATTGCTTTCACGAATAATTCGTGTCTATTGAAGTAGACATTTTTTAGAAAAAAGAAGTCTCAAAAGGTCACCAAACTCATAATAAAAGTAACTATTTCCGTTGACAACAGAGTAGGAAGCTAAAAATCTTTCAACCGAATTAATAATAATAAATAATGCTAACATGATAGATACAATAGAAAAAAAAGAATTGTGGTAAACTGAGTTTAGAAAACTTTCCAAATAGTTTTGTCAATTAATGCAAAAGTACAAATCATGGGGAACATCAAGCAAAATACTAACCTAAGTTGATAGTGAAAATAACAGTTGGATCATCATAAATGCATTAATCCGATCAATATATAAGATTTACCATGGAAAATATGTTATTATTATTATTATCAGCTTTATTCAATATTATATTTTTGGTACAATATAGAATTCTCAGGACACAAAGTATTTCAACAAGTTTCCGTTTCTTTCTTCTTCGTCGGTCCTGGCGATAAATATTGAGCGATCACCAGTTAGATGTTAGCAGTTCACTAAATGAACATCTGAATAATGTGCATTCTTTTCGTTGTATATTGCCAGCAACCACATTGTCTCTTATTGAGTTTTTTGTAACTTTGACAACGAAAGGTTGTACACTTTTCAGAAACGCAGCAGAATACATCATGCGATTAATAAACATAATAATACATTAAAACAAACAAAAATAGATAACTTGTTGAAATATCTAGATGGCAGAAACAGGTAGCCCAGATGCTCAAGCAGGCCGCCCTTGTTGTGTATATACAGTACATACAAGGCGTACCACACACTTCTCAACAGAGTTTTTCATCTTCGTATGTTAGATTCTATTAAATAAGACCGAATGATAAAGCATATTGACACGTTGAGATTCTATTTTTCCATACCGCGAAAAATGTTTCAAATGGTTTCAACTACTAATTAGTAGTATAAAATTACATCATTATTTGTATAAATCTGTTACTATTTTAAAAACTCATGGACATATAGATTAGCTTAGAAATAACTTGTGGGAAACTGTATTAATGGAATAATGTGCTATCCATATTTATCAGTATATACATTAGATTTCCCTATGCTTTCTTCATTACTTTTAAACAGGAGAATTACTAAATGCCTCAAGTAAGAGATAAGAGCTATGCAGATCAACACACCCAGTATCATATGTACAGTGATATTTAAGCTGTAAAAGAACTATCAAAATTTTAGACTAATGATGGATAGGCAGTTCGGTGATTAAGTCGTTAGACGTTCAACTACTAAGTCGCAGATTCGAAAACCGTTTCATATACTTCCGTTTTGGCAACTGACTGGTATCACTAGCCGTCACATTTATAATGTGTCTTGAAGTTAAGTACATGTGTCTATACATAATAACTCGGAGTGAGTGGCGTAACAGTTTCAAAATTGGTTTATACGAAAAGGGTACCACACAATAATTTAGACTGATAACTTTTAACTATAAATCCACGGATTCTAACTTGGGGACATTAATCAAAATTTAAGTGACCAGTTAATACCATGAAACCACGGCAAATAATTTCAAGATAAAAACTTCTTTATAAATCTACTTTGACTATCAACTATAGTCTCTTACTCACTAATATTCTCTATTCTTTTGACACTTTGAATTAATTTTTCATGAAACCAAGAGATCCATCTTGATTGATAAACGGCAAAATAATTTGGTATGTGGCTAACAATGGGGCTTAGAACACTCATTTCGCCATTCTTGCTACTCATCAGTTGGATATACCTCCATCCCAGTATTGATATTCACATCAAAGTGGTTGTCTGGATTCAATGGCTTGGTGAGTAACCCATTGAGGGTTTGAAGCGAAAATTATTGGGTTCGAGTCTGGGTGTGAATATCAACACCAGTACATGGCAGATACATCTAGCTGAAAAGTCCCGAATAGGACGAAACGTGTCCTGGATCCCAATGCTAGCCATTATGGATCTATTCTAGGCGATATACATAGGGTACACTTATGCCAACGAAGACTGATCAAAATTCAGTTTCTGATATTAGGTAACTGGATAACTCAAGTCTTTACTGTGATCTGAGACAAGTATGTAGTAAAAACGTACAGTTATTAAACGTTGTTGCTTTTAACATTTTTATGAGCGTCTAAAACATTGCACCCTGTTTCTTTTTATTTATATTTTATTTAGGCTTTCAAAATTGATGATTTTACAATCCAAGAAGATCAAGTAAAAGGTGAAATATGATTGCCTTCTGTTTTATTCATTAATTCTTTTCACTTTAATTTGTATGGATTTCCATGGTACAGTTTTATTTCATTCATTGTATGCATTCATCATTTAACTTATTTGCCAGGTACAGATTTATGTACTTGGCTTGTGGCTACATTCTAAGTGTAAGAGCTAGTAGTGATACAACCAGTTTCCTTGAAAGGACATAAGTGAAGAGGGGTTCGAATCTGAGACTTTTCAATTGAAAGTCGAACTCCTTCACCATTAATTCACCACATTCAAGACGTAATTCGTTAAACGACCAGCTGAACTACAGAAAACTATTCTTATCTAGATTTTAAACCCATTTAAATTCCGATGTTCTGACGTCAGTGTTACATCTATTCGTAACATAGAACAAGAGAATTAAAATTAATATCAGATGGGTTTTGTGGAGATTGTAGTAATTTCAATGGTCCAGTGCTTCCAGGTTTTCCAGGGTGGTCTAGCTTCAACTGACTCATGATCTTAACCATTAAGAATTAAAATTATCGAGTGGAAACAGATAAAGAAAGTTCATAGTTTGTTTATCTAAGTACTAGATCCGTTACCAATCATAAAATCATTACCATATATACTAGTGATTCCTAGTAACTTAAGATCAAGTTAGATTTCGTGATCTATACACTTAAGAATAAATAGAGGTTGTTGATTTAAAATTCCACCCGGGCTTGATATAACTGATCAGAATAGTAAATGTCGGTAGAAACTCGACTGGTTTTTATCCTTGTTCAAATATATTTTATTGAAATACTTTAACATTCAACGTCACTTGGAATTTACCTCCTTCATTATCCCAATTTATGTAAATAAATGTTTCTTACTTAATAACTAACTTAATCATATCACTCTTATTAGGGAATAGGCCATCAACCACGGCTATCCAACCAACTCTGTCCCGAGTTCTCCTTTCCAGTTGATCCCGAATGCTCTTCATCATCTTTATGACTCCCCTAATTCCCGGCGTAATGTGTTATTTGGTCTGCCTCTTTTCCTTTTACCTTGTGATGCAGTTTAATGGTTTCCTTATTGTGTGATCTATCTAGCTCCAGTTTTATTCCTTTATTTCCTCCTCGGCTGAGACCCGGTTTATTCTCTTCTATTGTAGGTTATTCCCGATAGTCTTTGGCAAATAGATCTGGAGTGTCTTGCGTAGACAACTGTTTATAAATACCCGTACATTTTTGATGACAATTATGGTAGTTCCCTAAGTTAAATTCACGAGTCTATCTAAGCTAAAGCACCACTGAAAATCTTGTAGCACTAAGATACCACAATCTTCATAAATTTCCATACCGAGTTCTCTAAGTTTCAGGTCTGTATAATATCACTGGTTTAACGTTAGTGTTGAAAATTCTAACTCTGGTGTTGGCTGACAGTCCTTTCGAGTTCAATATATTATTCAACTGTAGGAATGTATAGACATGTACTTATTCTGTAATACTTCTATTTTTCTCCTTTTTTCCAGTTGCCAAAGATGTTTTCAAACGTTTTGACAAAAGAGGACAAGAAAAAATTAGCACCACTGATTTAGGTCCGGCTTTTCGTGCACTTAATCTTACTGTTAAACCAGACACTTTGAAAGAGTGGGCTGATCAGGTCGATGACGATGGTAAGAATTTCAAAGTGTTTATACGTAGACACCTTTTACTAATAATCTTATCAGTAATGATATTGCCAACACATTCATTTCCTTACAACAGAATACATCCAAGTAATCATTCTTTCGTACATTTGAATATACAACTAAGTGACAATTGTCTTCGTCACTAGATACGTCGTATAGAAGGAACTTTGATTCAAGCATTAAACAGTAATTTGTTTGATGTAGCTAGTTAAGGAAAAAACAATTTATTCATCAATATATCAAGAGAAATTATTTTTCCGGTACAAAGATCATTTTAACAATGAAAAGAAATAACGACCAATCTAGATAAAAATAATTCTAGATTAGCTAAGGAATGAAGTGTTAAGTGAGCAACTATGTATAAATGTTACTGAGTTAAATAGAGTTAACAATAAATTGAGTGATAAACATTCGGCTTGGTGTTTGATTAGGCTTAGGTATGCTAATATATAAAAGATAAATACCAGCACAATAAGAACAAGTGTTATCCACTCGTTCACTATCATCATTCAATGAATCCAAGATTTATAATGCAAACAAATACAACAGAATTAATAATATAATAACTCAAAACAAGAATAATTTCATGAAACTGAACTGATAAATGTCAACACCAAAATAACGTGCATTAGATCCAAATTAGAATGCTTGTGACTTAAGGCAATATCGAGGCAATCCGTACAGGATGCACACATGCTAATAAGAGACTGATCAATTGAAGTCCTAAACATCAATGGGAAGATTCAAATAAGCAATACAAAATGAATTTGTCTTTTTCTGTGTTGTATTTTTTCTTCCATCATGAATGATTGTGCTATACTTGACACGTTCGTAGCACGATGGAGTGGTAAGTTCGTCGTGGAAAACTCCACATTTTTCCATGTAAGCTAGTAAAAACAACAGAGAACAAAACACACCCCCCATCACGAAGTACAATAGTGTCAGGTGCAGGGTCAAAATTACAAATAAGAGTGGAGTTTATCCTTACCCCATTACACTATTAAACTATATCAAGCAGGTACATTGTTTGTTTGTTTGTTTTTGGACAAAAAACATGGGATAGAAAAAAATGCACTTAGATAATCAGTTCTTTGATGATCGATCTATCATTAATCTATTCTTCCTTTTATATCATTTTGTGATTGGTTAATTATGATATTGATCAATACACATTGCCACTTACAATGAACCAGTTGAAGTGTAATTATCTGACTAATTGATTAGTTGAAATACTTAAAGTTAATAGGTAGGTAAAAATACTAAACTAGAGGGCTATAAAAAAACCTTATCGAATTGTGATTTTATTAGCAATTAGAAATGTAGGGGTTATAAGCAAAGATGAATAGTGGCTAGCAGTGGAATCCAGTTTGATGCACGTTTCGTCCTATTTCGGACTCGTCAACTAGATGTACCTGAATCTCAGAATTGATGTTCACTCTGGGACTCGAAATCAGTACCATTCGCTTCAAACGCCATCGCATTATCAACTTAGCTACTGAGTCCTGATACCCACTTACTAGTGCAATGGTGTGAAGTTGAAATTCACTTTGTATTGTTTCACTTGAATCTTCCCATTGATATTTAGGACTGCAACTGATCAGTCTCTTATTGGTTTATGTGCGTACTATGCGTATTATCTCGATATCGCCTTAATTCACAAGCGTTGGGAGGATTCAAATAAAAAATACCAAGTGAATGAAGGGGTTATTTCAACCTATAATTATATTTCTTTCGTATGAGGATAGTTATCCTCTTTCAATATTCACTAATTGTGCAATATTCAATATTTCAGGGTATTTTTTGTTCATTTAAAATGTATTACTATTGCATAGAAGAGTATAATTTTCACTGGGGACTTCATTTTAACCATCTGAAGTTATCTATCTACATATGTGTTATATGAATACGAAGCATTCTAACTTGCCGGATAAAAAAAGCAAATAAATTGAGAGTTAGAGCTTGAAATGAAATCCTTATTTATTTATTATTTGTTTAAACACAATGGTACAAGGAGGCACCACATAAATCATTCGATTTGTGTGAGGGCTGGGATACTGCCCGGGTGTCCAAATAAAAACAGGTGGTTTGCTTAGGAGGCCACACCCGGAGCCTTCGATCTAAAGGTCTAATCCACAAGAAACGTCAAGAGATGCAATCCCATGGTAGCCGGTTATCAACAATTGGTTCATACGCCATTCGTTCCCTCAAGATTCTGTAACTTATGGTAGGACCTTGAGGAACGGTTGTTCCAGCCAGTATAACTCGGTTGCTTCGTCACGATAGGCAAGCCCGACCACCACGTCAAGGTGGCAACAACAGTCGGGTATAGAACATTATTTGGAGACTTACTTTTTAAACTACCACAGTATAAACAACTTACAAACTAATGAATTTTAAAAAAAACTGCCGAGAAATATGAAGAATCACATTAGAGTCCATATTAGTGAATATCATTACTGACCTGAGTTTAATCGTATTTATAAGTAGACAAAAATGATTTATAACTAATAATGAATACCAGTATAGGGGTTGTCGAGATCATTAAGTTTTTTTTATTGAGATCATGAACCGATTGATGTTAGACCACCACTTTTGGAAACCTGGAAGCAATGGATGGCCGTTTCGTCCATTGTGGGACTCCTCAGCAGTGCGTATCCATGATCCCACTCTCTTGTATTGCTGAGGAGTCCCGTAATAGGACGAAACGGCCGTCCATTGCTTCCAGGTTTTCAATGGTGGTCTGACATCAATCGGTTCATGATCTCAATGATAATGAATAATTTGTTCATTCTTAATATCCTATTCTAACACTTTTTGGTGACTATAAATTAAATTGATGTTTCATATGACTTTATAAAACTTTGTTTAGTGAGCTGATGATAAGTGTATATGTACCGACCAAATTTTAGAAAAGATCTAGATAAATTGGTGAGATTATAATTTATAGACGAACTAATCAGATATAAAATAATGAGTCTTGAATTTTGGCGCGAAATTCATTCATGCCTTTGGCTAAATAGCGTTTTAGTATTTTAGCTGATGTCAGTTCGTGATGAAAACCCTAAGTCGAACTCCTAACCTTAACTGTCAACTGTAAATCATAATTTTAATTCATCACACTGCTTTATAACCTTCATTTAGCCCTAATATGTAGGTGCACATTATAAAGGTCACTTTAGGGTTGCTCAAAGGTCGTTTATGGACTAAAGTCTCACCGGTAAATGTTCTAAATCGTCTCTAGTCAGTGCACGAATGAATCTAATACCATTGTACTAAACTCAAATAAGCTTTACAGAATTTTTAATCGGTATTTCTTTCTTTATTCCTCTATTCAGCTACCGGATTCATTGATTTTAATGGATTTCTAATTTGTTATGGAAAGAAACTTCAAGAAGATCAAGATGAAAGAGATTTAAGAGATGCATTCCGAGTTCTGGACAAAAATAAACGTGGAGAAATTGATGTCGAAGATTTAAGGTAAATCCAGATTCTTGATAATTTCACTCTTGTTTCAAATATTCATCATCTAATTGGATATTTTGAAGTGAACTTCTAGCTATAAATAAGTACTTGATCTTGTAGCCGGTAAGCATAAAGATGACTATATAATCCGGTGAATATCTTTTACACGTGCCTATATTAATAGCCCAGTAATATCACCAGCCTGACCTCAACACAAAATAAAAGCAACTCTGTATAATATCAGTATGACGTCTAATACATCAGAGACCAGAGGTTATTAAACAGCTGACGAGAATCGACGAAATAAAAATGAATTCATGCTATTCTGCTAGAATGTTTGTTCTTGCTCTTTTCAAAATGATAAAGGGAACTATGTGTATGAGATTATCAAACAATTTGACTGAAAAGAAAATTACATTCTGTTGGATGTATAAAATGAGTGATCGAAAAATAGTAGTTTCATTCGAATTTATGAAGGGATCAATTACGTAGTATAATAAGTTACCTAACAGTTCAATGTGATCGTGAGCATATAGTTTTATATACACATGTAAACTACTTATAAGTAGCATGAAATGCTTGCGAAACATTTCTTTGCATTAATTTTTTGATTTCATCCTTCTTACAGATGGATATTAAAAGGTCTAGGTGATGATCTTACTGAAGAAGAAATAGACGACATGATTCGAGATACTGATACCGATGGATCAGGATTTGTCGACTTTGATGGTAAGTTTATTCATATATACATTGGTTGTTCGAATCCACCCATTGGTGTTGAGAACTGCAATTGATCTATCTTTTATTGACATGTATGCATCCTGTACGAATTGTCTCGAAATAGCCATTCAATCACAAGCATTTTAAGCAGTAATGTATGGTAGCTAGTTGTTAAGTCTAGGATGAGCGTTTTATCCTATATGGGATTCGTCACCTGTACATATCTGCCGCATCCGAATTAGTGTTCACTCCGGGACTCGAACCCAATATCGTTCACCTCAAACGTCAACGCGTCATCTACTTAGCTACTAAGTTCAATAAAATTATTTACATTTGTAGAATACAATTTTTCAACACTCTTAAATTTTTCGTCAGTAAAATTATCCCTACCAAGTCATCAATTGGATAGTTTCTGTTCTGAAATATTCACATCCACTTTAATTCTGAGTTGTAATACAACACAATAATAGGCTGTAAAAATTATCTATACATATCTATTTTATGATTAACTTGGCTGACAGAGAGCATCATCAAAAACCACTAGAAGGTGTTTTCAGCTAATTTAAAGATCAAAAAGCTTTTAAGCAACTAATGATACTTAATATTATGATTATTAGCGATGTATTGATTATCATATGAATACATTGGTATATCAACTGGATAACGCTACTCTAATCATTATAAACTGTCAATAAACCCTGTTTGAGTTATGAAAACCGTCGTAATTTAGTGAACCACTGATGGATCAGATGCCTATAATAAAGTTTTAGATCTGGAAACTAGTATGAGATTCTGTAGCAGTTTGCACCCATAATCCCTCCATGGAACAAATACAGAACCGTCTGGTCTCATAGAGGGTTTAATACAATTAGCTCCAACTTCAGGTAATGAACATACTTTGTTATCTTTCGGTCATGTTACTCAGCTTCATACTAGAACGACACATCCGTCCAATATTTTTGGTTTTCTTATTAATAAATCTTAGTATTTATGTTCACACAATTAATCGAATCTGGTATTTTTCACTTTACATCGTTATAGGCTATTCATTAAGCCCATTAACTGGTTCTAATTGCATAAAGTTATATATACATGGCTGTATAAAACTGAATTTTATTTAGCCTTTGTTGTCATGTTTGTGTATATTGTTGCCTTAATACTAGCATGTAGTTATGAAAAAAAGAAGTGTTTATCATCTTCTATTCACGTTCATTTTCTCCACCGAAATTAAACTATCTGTTATAGATTGTTGTCTTGTAATATTTATCATGAGATAATATCGCCAATTTGAGACACCAACTTATACGACCAAACCAGTGACCCATAAAACCTGTACAAACAGCCTAGAGTTCTTAATGAACATTTGAGATAGTAACTTCTCGCCTAACTCAGCCGGTTCAAGACAGAACTTAAATACCAGTCTCCGTTACATGAATCATATATTTCAGACATACTATGTTTATATACTAGAAAACCAGACCTCATCGTACCATAAAATAGAAAATAACAACTATATAATATCTAGACAAAAAGTGGCTGTGATTTTAAGAAACTGTAGCTAATAAATGGGGAATATCTCAAGAATAGTAAATCGTAAAATAGTAGTCAGTAGGTCAAACAAAAGCTTATAATAAAAGGAATATGAATATACACCTATTATAGTTACAATAACAATATATCTAATAATAATTCATACATAGATCTTAACAGGTACCACTCACTATTCTTCATCCGGATATACCACTATCAATATAAAGTTATAATTGTATTTTTGAATTCTTTTCTAATTATTTGTTTGCTTGTTTGTTTATACATTTTTAGAATTCTATAAATTGATGACATCTGAATAGAAGTTACAATTTCACTTCAATGAACTATAAGTGAAAATTTACTCAAAATTGCATTTCATTTAACCTTTTCTCTTGTAACATATTACTACTATTGTTATTATTATTATTATTACTATTGTTACTGAATCATAATGCTTCTTTATCAGTTAGTAACTTGTCTTATTGCACAATCTTAGTTTCATCAATGATGCATCGATCGATTCATGTGACTGTTTTTCTCTTTCTTTTTTGTTTACATACACCAATTACAGCTTAACCTGCAAAATTTTACTGTAGTTATGTTTGAATTTTATAATGATTTGCTGTATCAGTTTTCTCCCTTATATATATATTTAGTAATGTGTAATTGTATTATGATGCATCAATCAGTCTAGATTATCTTCTGTATGTTCCTTGAATTGTCACTAATTGTAAAACCCTACTTTCTTTGTAAGCTTTAACCCCAACATTATTGAATTGTTTCTTATAAAAGGGATTAATTGAATAGTGAATTGTGCTGTAATAACTATCAGTTCTTTCTGGGTTTTCCTAAAAGTAAAAACAAGAAAATAAAGATGAATCTTACATTTTTATTAATACAATCTCAAAATTTGAAAGGATTCCTTTACATGAAATTGATTTCAATACAGAACTGTTTCTAGCTGGGTTTCTAATGAGTAAACACATAATGTCGATCTCAATTTGAATGATTCTTAAACTGACGACATCGATTATTGAAGGTACTGATCAACTAATCAACAGAGTGATTGAATATGTCGAAAAATATTTTACAACAGAATTAATGAAGTGTTACTAGTATAGGAGTTGTGGAGATTATTAAATTTTTGATTGAGATCATGAACCGCTATACTAGTAATCAACATGTGCTCACTAGTGACTAGCTTCGTGAGGGAATTCTCGGAGTTCTAGTGAGAAGCCGTGACCAGTGGAGCTAATCCATGTCGAGTAGAGACAGGTATCTACCTCAGTACAATGGGAGTTGGTCGCGCAATTTCGTGGATTGGTTGATGTTAGACACTATCACCATTGGATGCCGACTCAGTGGTCCAGTACGTTAAGCGTTCGCGCACGAGACCGAAGGCCCTGGGTTCGAATCCCGCCCGCGGGATCGTGGATGCGCACTGCTGAGGAGTCCCACAATGGAACGAAACGGCCGTCCAGTGCTTCCAGGTTTCCAAAGGTGGTGGTCTAACATCAATCGGTTCATGATCTCAATCAAAAACTTAATGAAGTGCTGTTGGGATGTTGATTAGAATCTTTCAAAACTTATTATGAGTTTTCCAATTTTCATATTGTATTAGGTTTCTTTCATAATCTTTCTCATAGATATAAATAGTTTTGTAGTAAATTTATCACGGCCGACAAAATCGTTATTTTTTTAATTCGCTAAATATTTACAGAGATGAGAATTATAAGACAATCCTCTAAGGAGGATCATCGTGGAGTATACTATAGGGACGAGCTTAAAACAACTGTAACGAATATTCAACCACTTCTCAGTCAATCAGAGAACAGCTTTGTAAATGGCTAATTGATGCTAAAGAAAATAATAAGTAGAGTTTATATATTTAATGAATCTATTAATGGCTTTTACAAGTTACTCTACCTGTAAATCGAAAAATCTGTAACATATGAACTCGTCCTTACAGCTATAAATTGTTCACTTTCTCGAATTCCTATGAGAACCAAAACTGATTTTTCAGAGTCTACAAATTGTTCCTAGTTAAACTTAAGTAATTAGAGTTAGGCTTAGAGACTTAGGTTTGGGTATTTAATCATTAACTGACATAAGCTATAATGCAAAAGTGATCAGTAGCCATATAGATGGATGAATTTCACGTAAAAATAGAAGGGACACTATCTGATCAGTCGGTTCATAAAATTTAGTGCCATTAGGTTATGATTTGTTTCGTGATTCATAGTTTATAGTTAGAATTTAGGGTTAGTTTCGATTTAGATGTTATATGTGATCTAAAAAGGTAAAATTAGACTTAGGATATGTTTAACAATATCACATTTCCTGTTATCATATCGAAAGTTTTGAGCAATGTACAGAAGAATATCTGATCGTTATAAAATGGTATTTGAATTTTCCGCAAAAACCTAAAGGTTTTAGTACTGAATCTGATTGGCTCGTCCCGATCCTTTTCTATAACGTTCACAGATAATGATAATCCATTTATGATTAATTAATTGATCAATGTTGTTTGATTTGAACTCTTTAAGACAACTAGGAGTTGACATATTTACATATTTGAAGACATTGGACAAAAAGCCTGAAACTTGAGTTTCATGCTAGTTGGAACTTATCAACAAGTCCTACATGAAACATTATAAAGTAAACTAATACTCACCAAGAAATGTAAACTTTTATCGCTCAATGTAACAGTCAGAGTGGTTACCACTGAGCTATCCTTTTCACGATTGACATTTTATCGAACTTATGTTCATACTGAATGATCAATGAGTAGTAACCAATGTTTTACTTGTCAATCGAATTCTATAAGTATGTCCTTTTCGCCCTATATATTTGAGTATCGTGATACGAAAAATAGATCATATCTCATAAAATGTGAATAGTCGGTTCTTTATACCATCGAAAAAGTTTAATATACCAGTTGATTCCACCAACATCTCACTCCTCGAAATAAGTTTGGTTTACATTTAATTAAATAACCTTCAGTTATTCATTTGTATTGGTTAATCTGAATCATCTATTGATGTTGAGACCTGTAATTGATCTATCTTTTACTGACATGTATGCATCTTGTACGGATTGGCTTGAAACAGTCATTCAGTCATAAGTATTTTAACTAGAAATGAATGCTAACTAGTTGTTAAGTTACGGATGAGCGTTTTATCCTATTTATGATTCATCATCTGTATATACTTACCACATCCGAATTAATGTTCACCCCAGGGCTTGAAACAAATAGGACAAAGCATACATCATTGATTGTCCACTGCTATCATATATCTCTCCTTAATAATGTTTGATTATGTTATGATAGTATCACTCATCACTGTTTGATTTTCACTTATAGTTATGTACTTGGATTAATATAATGAAAATGTTCACTATATAGAAAAGTATACAAATATCCATAGGAGTTGAACTCAATTCAGTTAATATAATAAATATGTATAATCAATATTTTTTTTACAGTGGTGGTGACTGATCATATTGTGAATTATTTTCGGTATCTATAATCTTTTCATACCATCACACTGAATATTTGGATAGTTTCTTTGTTTGTTTGTTTGTTTGTTTGTTTGTTTGTTTGTTTGTTTGTTTGTTTGTATGGTTTTTTTGGTGAAATTTTCCACCTTTAAAAAAATGGGGTTTTAAGAAATCACTTAACGACATCATTTAATATAGAATCTTGAATTTAAACATTGTTTTGTTTATGCTAAGTGTTTCAAGACTGAACAATTCAAAGAGACAGAGGAGAGTGTGTGTGCGGCTTGCTTGAGCATTTGGGCTACCTGTTCCTGCCATCTAGATATTTCAACAAGTTATCTATTTTTGTTTGTTTTAATGTATTATTATGTTTATTAATCGCATAACCTATTCTGTTGCGTTTCTGAAAAGTGTACAACCTTTCGTTGTCAAAGTTACAAAAAACTCAATAAGAGACAATGTGGTTGCTGGCAATATACAGCGAAATGAATGAACATTATTCAGATGTTCAATCAGTGAACTGCTAACATCTAACTGGCGATCACTCAATATTTATCGCCAGGACCGACCAAGAATAAAGAAACGGAAATTTGTTGAAATACTTTGTGTCCTGAGAATTCTATATTGTACCAAAAATGTAAAGCTGATAATGATAATAATAATAACTTAGATTAATTAGCATGGTTTTAAACTATTCAATCGTATCAGAATGGGTTTTATGGATATTATAGTAATTTTAATGGTTGAGATCATGAGTCAGTTGAAGTTAGACCACCATGGAAAACCTGATAGTAGTGGACAACCGTTTCATCCTATTGTGGGACTCTTCAGCAATGCACATCTACGATCCCATCTCGCAAGATTCGGACCCAGGACCTATCGGTCTTACGCGCGAACGCTTAACTTCTAGACCAATTGTATTAAAATGAAGGTTTGAATTTTAATTATATTTCAATGACTTAGTAACATGTTGGATGCCTATGACTTAATTTATACATTGACCTCGTGATCAATTGAATTATGAATCCATTAGTTTATTCGGTTTCTATAGTTTCTGAGTCTAATTGTAAGATTCACTGAGTTGAAAACTATAAACGCTAAACTTCGTTAGAAAAATGTTGTCAAACAGAAAAAATCTTATTTTAAGCTTGACGAAGTAAAAACGTTTTCAATTAATGTATTTACTATCATTTTAAGATATCTAACATATATACATACATCTAGGGAAAACGAATCCGTTATCATGTCATTGCTAATGCCTTTCGAATTTGTACAATACTTGGTTAGTAGTTTACATTTAAAACACATTAAACATAAATGACCAGTTATTAAATAAGTCAGTCGATCAGTTGAGAAAATGATAAAAGATGTATTTATCGAATAATGGTCCCTGAAAATTAATCATTCAAATAATTATGGCTGTTATATGTCATCGCATTTTAGGCGAATAAGTAATAATACTTTATGGCGTATATATAATGATATCGTTTAGGTGCATCTGAAAACCAAGAAGCAATAAATAGCTATTTCGTCCTAATATACGACTCCTCATTCGTACTCACCAGAGATCAACACTAGGACCTTCGGACTTGACAGTGAATGTTTGACCATTAAAACAACTACATCAATGTACAGTGGTATAAGTTTAATTTCAATCAATTTGTAATATAACTCGATGATCATCTAATGACATTGATGATATTTGTCAGGAGTTTTTACCTCTAAAGAGTCTCATACTAGAAAGAGACAGTAATCTAGTGATCTTTGTCCATTAATCCCACTACAGATGAGATTAATCTTCGACTAATATAGTCTACAAAAACTTATTTTATTGAGTTTTAAGTAGTGGTCCAGTTTTGAGTGTTTAGTGAAATGGCATTTCACTAATTCGTATTCGGTTTAAAAATGCACTTTTTCAAAGTAGGGCAAACAGAGACCTAACATATCTTTTAGAGAAGTGAGATAATTTAAAGCTTTTTAGGGGAATATTATGCTCTATTTGAAAAAAAAATATTGAAATAAAACTTAATTTACTATCTAAATAGCCGAAGGGGCTTAATGGCTTTCATCTTCTGACATCGAAAAAACAAACACCATAATCCGTTCCAAAATCTATTTGCTGTATGAATAAGTTTCATGAGATTTCTGAAGACTTCAAAGGGTCCGGATTAGTGGTTATGTCTGTCAGCTCTTCCATTCTCCTTTGACATCGAGGCAGTTGATCATGATATTTTGATAGGACCGACAGATTTGAGGGCCGACAATATTCTAAATCTCAACACCTCAAATATATCTTTACATTTATTACATTTCATTTGTCTTTGAAATAAAATACGTTTTGATCGAAATCACTAATCGACCAAAGTAAGACAACCATTGAAAACCTGGAAGCTCCGGAAGGGGGTTTCTTCTTAGTATGTTACTCCTCACTACTGTGCATCCACGAACCTATATTCGAGGATCTAACTTAGGATCTTAAGTCTGCGAGACATTT